TTGCCATGTCCAAATAGAAGAATCATTTAGTGAAGCAAAGTTGTTTCTGCTGATACTGAGAGTTGCTACCCGATGAAACCAAATGAACAGTCTCAGCAGATGAGTATTTAGAGCTGGACATGGATAGCACCTGTTGTTCTTAGAGTCCCTCAAGTTGATTCTGACTGAAGGCCTAGGATTTTCTGGAAATACATATTCAGATATGCCTTGTCATTACTTCATTGAGGGCGGGGAGATGGTGATATGCTCAGAGTCACCCAGTGGATTTCCATGCTGAGTGGATGTTCCAAACATTGGTGTCCCAGAGTCCTAATCCAACACTGAAACCACTGTACCACAACAGCTCTGGCTATATGTTGTCTAAACAAAGATATTAATTGACACGAGGACATGATATTAATATGACATGAGGACTGGCAATGTTCAGAAATCTCCTTGAGAATATTTCAACCTTCCAAGAAAGTTTGCTATAACATTACAGGGATTAACATTAAATAAAGGAGCTTCTCACGAAGTTTTCAGTGTGTAAATCCTGCATGACAACACGAGTGCAATACTAAACGGAACAGAAAAGTGAAGAGACGGTAATTAATATGTGCCAAGAGAGTCACTGTTGTTGTTGCTGTGTAGCAGGTGTGGATGTAAGTTGTTCTTTCCCTTCTTGACACTGACTTCTTGAGTCCATGTGAATAAACCCAAGGAGAAATGGAGTCTGCAGCTTTTGCTTCTCCTATAGGAATTTCTTTGAAGGATCCCATCATCACAAGTAGATCTAAGACTCATGTAATCTACCATCTTTCTATTTCTGAATGATACTGGTGTGTGTTAATGGTTCAGTTCTATTTCATTTAGCAACTGTAGGTAGGTCAAAGTTGTCCCCTGACATTAAGTCCAGTCGTGTTTGACTCTGGGGGTTGATGCTCATCTCCATTTCTAAACCGAAGAGCCAGCATTGTCTGTAGACGTCTCCAAGGCCATGTAGCCAGCATGACTTCATGGAACACTGTTACCTTCCCGTTACCTGTTGATCTACTGACATTTGCATGTTTTTGAACTGCTAGGTTGGTAGAAGCTGGGGCTAACAGCAGGAGCTCACACCACTCCCCATATTCGAACCTGGGACCTTTTGGTCAACAAGTTCAGCAGCTCAGTGCTTTAACCCACTGCGCCACCAGGGGCTTTTTATATAATAATACAGTTAGCAACTGTATTATTTGTGAAAGCACAGTGAAAGAGAGCAAGCGAGTGCATTTAAAGGTGGTACTCTTGTCAGCTTATGGCAACTCCATGAATTCCTTGGGTTTTCTTAAGCAAGGAATACTCAGAGATGGTTTTGCCAGTTCCAGCCTCTGAAATATATCCTAACAACATGTGGTATTTGGTGGAGGTCTCCCAACCAAGTACCAAACAGGACTGATCCTGCTTAGCTTCCAAGGCATTAAATGAAATGGGTGCCTAATGCATTGTGGTCCAAATTATTTGCCTAATGCATTGTGGTTCAAATAATCATAAGGTTTGTTGGATATTCTAGGAAGAGACAAAATTAATTCTTGTATTCCTAAGGACATTTATAACAGAATATGCTGGGAAAATTGGGAAGAGACAAAACAATGCCTCCCTCCATCTCTCCCCCACACCCTCAAACTCTTGAATTCCTGAACAAAGTTTTTAATTAACCAAGCTGGGAAGATCACTGTTTTACTGCCCAACATTCTCCTGTACCATTTGAGACTTGCTCTGATTTTAGCTTTTCAGGAAGAGCTAAGCTATCTGAATGCATTGAGAAGAGGCTGTCTTTTAATTGATCCCTTTGGAGCTTGCTTCCATTTATTGTGCTCAAAGCAGCTGAACTGAATTCCTGGGATGGTGTCTTGAAATCTAAGGTATGACAGATATATCTCCACTGTATAATTAATGCAGTTTGACACCACTTTAACTACCATGGCCCGGTGCTATGGAATCTTGGAATTTGTAGTTTGGGAAGGCACCAACTGTTTCTGGAGTTGAGTTAAATACCTTATAAGACTACAACTCCCATTATTCTATAGCACTGAGCCATGCCAGTTAAAGTGGTGTCAAATTGCATTAATTCTACAGTAGAGATGCACACAATGCCGAAAGTATTACACTTTTGTTCTTTTTTATATTAAAACATGATTATGTAAGTAGAGCATAGCATTATTCAGAGGAGGGAGACTAAAATGATCAAGGGTCTGGAGAACAAGCCCTATGAAGAGCGGCTTAAAGAGCTGGGCATGTTTAGCCTGAAGAAAAGAAGGCTGAGAGGAGCTATGATAGCCATATATAAATATGTGAGAGGAAGTCACAGGGAGGAGGGAGCAAGCTTGTTTTCTGCTTCCTTGGAGACTAGGACACAGAACAATGGCTTCAAACTACAAGAAAGGAGATGCCATCTGAACATTAGGAAGAACTTCCTGACTGAGAGATCCGTTCAGCAGTGGAACTCTCTGTCCTGGAGTCTGGTGGAGGCTCCTTCTTTGGAAGCTTTTAAACAGAGGCTGGATGACCATCTGTCATGGGTGCTTTGAATGCAATATTTCTACTTCTAGGCAGGGGGTTGGACTGGATGGCCCATGAGGTCTCTTCCAACTCTATGATTACATATTTGCATTATAAAAAAAGGAAAAAAGACAAAGTTTTTTCACATATTTACTAATAACTTTCTGGTCTGACCTGTATTCTTAGCCTTTCCATTACTATAATTGCCTACTACTTGTGTCTATCTGTCTTTTCCTCCTCCCTCTCCCTCTCTTTCTCACCCTTCCCTTTGAGAACAGTTGTACCTTTCTTTTTTTTAATATTACTTTATTTGTTCAATCATGAAGATGTTCTGATTCAGTTCCTTAAATATTCCTTTTGCTTTTATTCAAGCTATCATCGCTTTCCATTGAGTGTCCCAATTTCCCTTAGGATATCCGTTTATATATTTAATTCACCTTTCGATAATATAATCCAGCAGCATATAGTCTGCTAAGTGGTCATACCACTTTTTTTCTTTCTCATTTTCTGTGCTCTTTCCAACCATTGCTTTTGCAGCTCCTATCATATATTTTGTAATTTCAGCCCATTACTTATTCCTGCCTTTTCCTTGTATTTTCTGGGGAAAATTTGTTTTAAATTTATCTCTAATTTTATACCTAATATATCTTCTATCTTGCTTTTTATTTTTTTAATAAAAGTTTTGTACCTTATCACAATCCCACCACATATGTGTAAAGGTTCCTATTTCCCCACATTTATGCCAACATCGTTTTAATGTCCTTTTTGTAATATGGGATAGTTGTGGGGTTCAATACCATTTTGTCAAAATTTTCTGTTTTTCCAGCATTTGAGTGTTGAAATCAGTGGGCCTCCTTGTTTTCTTTATTACTTTACTGTCCATCCAATCCTTTAAATACAAGCAGTTGGGGTGGTCTTCCCCCTTGTCAGGTTTTAGTATTGTTATTATTTCTGAAGTTTTCCATGTTTCTGGGATTCTTTTGCCATTATTTCATTAAATCACTGCAGTAGTCACTATTCACACACACCAGTATAATGCAGAAATAATCCACACATTCCTTTCTTTTTCTTCCTTCAGTTCAGGCACCAATTCTCAAGCTCACACAAGATCTTACTCAGGAACTAGTAAATAAAGGTTAGAATACTGTGACATATTTTAAAATAAAAAACCATGGTTTTAAAAATTTATTTCTTGTGATAATCATCAGATCTTGTGGAGTTTTCCAATATGGAATGGGATTTTAACTTTTTAAATTTTATTGAAATTATTGTAACCTGACAAAATTCGGCATTTGTCAATGTATGCCTCCAGGTTGTTTCCATTTTATGCATGGGGCACAATGGGGCACTGTGCAATATGTCCCAAGGGAGCCTCCTGTTCAATGTGTCCCAATGTGTATTGGGGTGCCTTGTGCATTGGGATGCCTTCCACAATGGCCATTAGTGTGAACAGTCCCAAAGATGTAGAGAACTAGGGTGTTGTGGTTTGAATATTGGACTGTGACTCTGGAGGTCAATGTTCAAATCCTAGGGTTTTCTTGACATAACAAACAGCTCTTACCATCAAGAGGTTTTTCCTAATGTTAGATGAAGCCGCTTTTCCTGTAGTTTGAATTCATTGCTCTGCATCTTAGTCTTTGGAGCAGCACAAAACAAACTGGCCTTTTCCTTAATGTGACGATTCTCGTTGCATTCATATGTATCTCCTTACTTACTTAGCAATATTGTTCCTTGAAGTGGAGGAATGGGTAGGTAGATGGGAACCAGAGTGGAGACAAGACTTGGTTCCAGGAGATGGACAAAGAGGAGCAGCAATTGATGCACCCCACTAATTGGAATCAAAAGGCAGAGTCAAATAAACACTAAATCCCAGAAGAACCTCACCACAATCCCTGACACTGAAAATATAATCCTAATCAATCAAATAACCAAATGTTTGTTTTCCTTCCATGACATTCAACATCTCTTGCCTGAGATAGCCACATCAAGCTGCCTCATGGTAGGGCCATTCTTTATGGATATGACTTGTATAGGTTGAAGAAACACAGCTGTGGCCAAGATCATGTATTGGTAGACATGGCTGTTTCAAATAAGTATCTCTTTGTAGCAGTCTGTATTTTCTTGTAGCATATCCATTTTGATGTTGCTGGTAAGCAGAGGGATCAGCAGCACTTCATCAAACTGTTTCCCTATAGCTAGATGTGTTGTGAGACTCTTATCTATATCCAGCAGTCTATCTTGCAGCACACCCAAATACAGTAAAATAAATGGGCACTTTGCTAATTATTGCCTTACTTTCTGGTGTAATGTAGGTTGCTTCATAGGGAGTGGGGTGTATGGCTGTGGGAGGATTTTGGCCACTTCATGTTTGGAACAAAATTCATATCTCAACAAAGGAAGTGAGCTATCCTAATGGGTTATCAGGATTCAACTCTACATAGGCGACCTTGACATTATTGAACACAAAACAATGACTACACTGAACATGAAAAGGAAATTTTATTAAACATGTCTACATAACATGAGTTGGAAGTTTCATTTAAAAGCACAGGGAAATGTTAAGACAAGTGGTCAAAATAGAAAGGTACTACCGAATTATCATTAGTTTATTTATTTGGCCACTAAAAGACAGAAGAGAATCTAGTAGTGCACCAATGCTTCAGTTCTTCCTGCTCAGCAGGTCGAGCAGTAATCAATCTGTTCCCCATGGAAACATGGGCAGAATAGTTCTGGCAATATTAAATAATAATAACAATAATAAATAGTTCACTTGGTGCAGGCAGTTATGTCTATGAAGGAAAACTTAATTGTGTCCACAGTTTCTACATGTGTTACAGCCCCACAGTAGGAATCTACATCAAAATATTTAGTAGAAGGAATTTGGTCCATACTACATCACGTTTTCCATACGGTAAAAAATAAAGTCCATCAATAGACATTTAGCACCAGACTAACTGACAGCCTGGCTAAAACCTGCAAAATGTCTATAAGAAAAAATGGATGGCTTAGATTTCTTGGTTACTTCATTAGAGTAATTATGAGCAAACTGTACAAGTACATGCAACATACAACCTGGCCTATGTGGAACTAACATACATTATTAAATAATCTCTTTTGTTTGTGACTTTTTCCTCTTTTTCCTTTTCCTTTTTTCTATTTCTTTTGCATTTTTTTTTTACAAAAACGTGCATGCAGCTTTGAACAGTTCCAAGTCATGCTGCTCTATTTTGTGAGATCACCATAAAAGGAAGGAGAACTTTTCAATGCACCTGCACATTCTGCAGGGTTTTTTTTAGCACATTTACAGAAAAAACACAAGGGATTTCAAGGCCAAGAAAGAACCAAGATGAACAAAATGCAAGGTTTTTTTGTTACCATACCCCCCTCCCTTAAACATAAAATCATTTTTGTTAAAAATCAAGCTTTGTGCTTGCATCAATCTCAAATAAACGTAAACTGAAATTTGATAAAAACATTAGTAAGTGCAGAATATTCAACTGGAATTTCCAGTGACAAACTGAACAACTCATACCATGCTCGAACCAGGGCAGACAAGTGTGTCAAAAGTGACACTTGGATCACCCGAGATGCCTGGGTACAGTTGAAAGTGTTGGATGCCTAACTCTATTTCTGGTCCACATTGGGAAAGTCAATTGTACATTTACACGCATGAACATTAAGACTTTTGTCACGGGCCTGATATGCTTTATAAACGTAATTGCCAATGTCAAAACAAAAAAAGCTGCTTTTTATCAAGTCTTCAGCAATAGTTGCAGTTGCAGATTTCCTTCATGCAAAATCATGGTCAAAACATAAAAATAATGATGTATAATGCAAAAATATTCACTTTTTACAATGGGAAATTAGGATATGCTCTAAGACATAGTTCAACAAAACAATAAATTAGTCATTTATTCTGGCTTTCCATCTGTGTTAGGACTATGAACAACCAGAAAGAAGGGGTGATGTGGCTATTATTGGCATCATATGATAATTTTGGCAGGTGAACACTTCTGGAGATGCTTACAGAGATGTGCTTCAGCCCTTTTTGGTTTGTTTTAGAAAAAGAAAGGAAGGGTCTCTGTTAGCATTCCGACATTTTTTACAAAACAGGCAGGATAACACAGCGAAAGCAAGTTAAACACGAACAAACACCAGGAAGTTAACACTGCTTCTGGTCTCTGTGAAGAAAAGAAAAAGAAAAAGAGTGGGAGAACTGTCAAAAGAACATGTGGTTCCAGTTTAATTTTGAAAGGTCCCTCCTCATTATGATTATCAGAAGAATTAGGGACACTTTGCTAGATGGACTGACTCTATTTTCATATACTGCTTTGTTCGGTCAATTTTAGCCACCCTTTTCACACAGAGGCATATTTTTGGATAAACTACTACAGGCAAAACTGAAGTGATGATTGTCTCTGTTCAAAAGTGCTCCTCGTTGTTGTAAGTAGTTTTTCTCCCTGTTAGTTATCCTGGGTGATAATCACTTCATTGAGGAGCTCCTGTTATTGTGTTCACTAAGACCGAATGCAGGGAGGCCCAGTTGAACTTTCCAGAGATGACTGGGAGGCCCTGCGAGTCAGAGGAGTCAACGTTGAATCCACCAGGGAGGATGGTGGAAACAATTTGTACCAGCCAATCACTACGCTGGATAAATCAAGTTCTTCCAGCAAGATTTGTGCAACTCCCATGAAACATTTGTGATCCATTCGACCATAATCTCCCCAGACTATCACCTGGAAAGACAATAGAAAAAATCAATAGCCATCTAGGTAAGGAGTTGGCAACAAGAATAAAAAGGCAATGTCATTTTTCATGGTGCACAATGACTTCTAATAAGAATCTAGACCTTTCAGCCCTGAACCTGACGTCACTCTGCAGTAAGAAATGTCAATCCATAGTGAAAGCCAACAAAATGCCTATAAGCAGATGGCATTGTTGTTAGTCCGACTGCTGAACAAAATCACTTTACCTTTATAGCAAATGCGAAAAGCACTTTGATCTTTGTGTCAGCTTTGTCTACTAAAACTAGAAACAAGTCCCCACACTTTAATGATATGCATTAGAGCAGTGGTTCTCAACCTGGGGTCCCCAGGTGTTTTTGGCCTTCAACTCCCAGAAATCCTAACAGCTGGTGAACTGGATTCTGACCAACAACATCTGGGGACCCCAGGTTGAGAACCACTGCATTAGAGATTCTTACGTATTAGGAAAACATAACCTATTGTTAATTAAATGTTAACTAATTATGATGGATTGGTCACAAGCCATTGGATTAACAAAGGATAGCCAAACAGCACTCTAACAGCATACTGTTGGTATATTCTGTGTCTGAAGACAGAAGGGCAATGAGACCACTGGGCACATCATTGCTGGAGGTTTGTAAATTAGAGCCTGAGATAAGAACCAATAATTACTGACCTGAAGGACTTTTCCATGAGGACTTTCCTCAAAAACTAGTGTTTGTTGATATAAAGGATCAAGAGTTTTCCTGGCAATTCTTGTCTTCTTCTTGGCTACGCAAGCCCCATTTTCCAACAGGTATACTTTAACATATGGAGCTGGAATGTGTTTTAAGAAATGTCAGTTTCTAAGTCTTAAGTGATGGATCACATTATTATCAAGATATTTATAACAAAATAATAAAAACATAATGAAATTGCCCATTTAAAAAATATCACAAGTACTCTGGAAAACAAAGCATGTCGAGAACAATATGAACAAAAAGAAGATAACAAGTAACTTTAACATTTTTCCCCATGGCAAGACAGATATTGAAAACCATACAATTTCCAAAGTTTCTTCACAATTTGGGACGTAATCTGTGCCAACAAATGCATGTGGTTTTTTGGTGCAGTAAACTCTGCCGCCTGTAGAGGAAACAGAATTTTCTGCACATAAAACAATATTTCTACATTGTTTCATGCACAAAACACTATTTCCTGCACAGAAAATGTTATCTTCAACACAGATGAATTACATGCAAAATTTGTGCAGAATAAATCTATTATACCATATTCTGCATAGAAATGTAATGTCCTCTTTAGAAAATGCTGTTTCCTGCATAAAACAACCACACACAAAATTTTGCACAGAATAAAGCCTGATCTTATAAGATTTTCAGCCCAAAAAGATTCTCATCAATAAATGATTCTTACTAATATTTACAAACACATATGTATCCATTTTCAGAATATTTCCAAACATTGATTCGATACCCAGCCATAATACAAGTATTTATTCCAAAAACTATATATTTAAAAGTATAGCATATGTTGGCAGCTGCTCATTGTTTGAAATACACAGGAGATTTTTCTTTTAAGAAAAGACTGGCAAGAGTTAGACTATTTATGAAATAGGAAGAAATGCTTAAAAAAAGTTGGTGTTCTCACGAGGCGGTATTGTTTTAGCACAAAAGTACTGAGCTGGAAAATGATTTCCCTCAAGTAGATGTTCTGAAAACAGTATTTTCATTATACCAGTGAGTGACTCTGTTTATGAGTTTTGTTCTCCTAGCAAGAAAATGGCAACTTATTCGCTTGCTCAAAGGACCTTTGTGCCACTAAAAAAAAACTAAGCTTGGTACCCCTAATGTATTTGCTTTGCTTTTGCCCTGTAAACTTTTCGATGATGCAGTTATAGGAGACTTTACTCGCATCATAATAAAGTTTCCTCCTAGTTCTAATATCATACTAAGGAGACTTGTTCCATGACTATTTTAAAGACTGAACAATATAAAATTCCTGCCTTTCAGCATGACTTCTGAAGAACTGACTGGCAATGTTTATTGAATGTCTGGTCTCTACGTTGCTCCTGATAGAGATGAAATTATAAAATGGACTTATATATGCTGGTAAGCCAGTGAAGGATGTGAATTGATGATAAAGTTGTACATTTCTGCTAAACTCCAAATCATCAATTCAACAGTTCTGTATCATTATACTTTGTTACATAATTTTACTTAATGTGGTCGAGTTATCCGCCACATACACACACTGTTTCTAGGATTACAGAGCTCTTTGTAGCAAGAAAATGGGGAAGGGCAAACACTTTCCTTCAGTCACTTTTTGCTACCACTTCCATTATTCTTGGGAATTGTCTTAGAAGATTGGATGAATAGGGCACATCCAAATTGGTTCCTCCAAACCAAATACACTCCAAGCTGCTCCTTGTCTTCTGCAACAAACAATAGGAATTGCAGCAGAATGGTAAATGCTGCAATTTCCAGACAACATATGAGATTTCCAGTTTCTTGCTCAAGCATTAGACTGACAGCAAAAGAAATTGTGGGGAAAATAATATCGATGAAAAAAACTGGTAGCAATTAGTGGCATAGGCCACTAATATTATAGGCCACTTATAAGATATTGTAAGACCAAGAAGTCTTGACACCAAGCACAGCACTATCACAATGGATTGATAAAATGTCTTGCAGATCAGAAAATCCAACATCCATTATGAAAGGATGTACTTACCAGGGGTAGATTTAGAACCAGGCTTTTGTGTTAGGCCCCGGGCTCTGATGACTTCTACTTCTAACTGGCCTTTCTTGTCCACCATTCCAATCTGTATATCACCTAAAAGAGGATATGAAAATATCTGTATTATTAGTATCATATTATTAATATTATCCTGTGAATAACAGTAGAATTATTCACAGCATAAGTACTGTTTTACAGTATTGCACTGTACACTATTATTGTACAATAAAACTTTTTTTATTTTCAAATGTATTTTACTAACACCTTTAACCTATTATTTCAGCAGCTGATGAAGACATTCTATTTTACCAAGTCCATACAATAAGTCAGAGGATGATTATGGCTCAAACTACTGCAGAATTACTGTGCTATGCTGAGATATACAGGATTGCAACTAGTGCCTCTCCAGATCTTTGTGCTATACCTCAACTGCAAAGCTTATGGGTTTTACTGGGTGGCAACACTGAAAACAGCACTAGTCTAGTCAACAAAGATTCCAGTAATCTGGTACTGTGAAAAAAAGAGAGCTAAGCTCAAAGGCATCCAAATTATTGTTGATGATCAACTTCTTTATTCCTTGGCCCCCGTCTCCAGAGTCTGGAGATCCCTAAAATCCAGGTTTATTTACAAGGAAGGAAAAAGTCTTTATTTGAGAAAATATTAGTGCACACAAATGTTTCCCACAATAGCAACGGATCACCTATTGAACAACCAGCCTGTGTGAACATCACCAATGAGATATGGGGCACATCTACACTGACCACGTAGGTCAGCTGAAACCAGTTTGGGAGGAACCATTTTCACTGTGTGGATGATTAGACTGAGAGGTCTGGAATTGGTTTGAGGTCAGAAAGACCATGAAACCTGGCCTAAAACCACTCTTCACCCCCCCCCCCTCTCATTTCCAGGATAGATGCGCACGTTCTGGAGACCTAGGAAGTGAAAAAGGGGAAAGTGGCAGGAATGAAAGGGATCAATTACTCTTCTTAGGAGGTCAATTAACCCCCTGCTAGCTAGTTATTCTCTTGGGGGATTTTTTTTTGGCATTCTCCCCACCCCGTGTTCTGAATTTTACAATGTGTTTCATAAAGGGCGGGGATCTACAATGTGCTTAGCATTCTGCTGAGCTGATTTCTTCCTTTGATCTGGGATGTATTGGGCTCTGTTGCGGTCCTGTGAGGTTCACAAGCCCCTCAGAAACTGCCCTATCATGATCAGTGCTAATGTTGGCAATCACTGGAATGCCCTTCCAATAAATAATGTAAACTCTAGCTTGTCCCAATAGATACTTGTGACTCACACAAATGATTTTTAAGAAAAGAACTATCTTAGGTATTGAAGAGGTGAATTTATTATTTCCCTAATGTGAAACTTTGCTGCATTTATGAAAGGAGAAAAACTAGTATGTCTTACAGATATGCATAAACAACATGCCCAAGAGAGCTGTATTGTTCAAGACTTGACAGAGAAAACAGCAGGATCTCTCTCTCTCTCTCTCTCTCTCTTGGAAAAGATCATCACTTACTGATACTCAGTTATATACATTAAAACACACATTCGAATTTGTAAGAAAATATTCTCAGTGAAGTCCCAAGTGTCTGCATAGTGTTTCTTGAAATCTTTCTTGCTAATCTTTCTATCTTACCAGGCATCAGCAGGGGGTGCAATAGACCTTTTCCATCTGGAACAGATTCAGATCTCATATATATGAGGAAGCTTCTAAAAATATTCCTTCTAAGGGAAAAGGGTCTGTGTTGGTTTTCTAGGTTAGAATTTCCCCAAAGTCCATGAAAAATTAAAGGTAGCAAAAGATGGAAAGAAAATATCACTAAGAGATCTTATTGTTATTTTTTTTCATAAGCTATATATGAAATGAATTTAGAAATGCATTGACAAATAAACAGGTTATTGGTAATTTTATATGCAATCTTGCATGTGGTATGAATTTCTAAGGTGCATTAGGTAGCACAATGTATCCAGGGATTTTTTTCAAACTCAAACAAGCCAATCAGTTGGTTTTTATCTAAATGAATAAGAGGATGGAAAATTCTCCAGAGGTGGTCCATCCATCCATCCATTCAGTCCCTCATCATCCCAAGTAGCTGGTATGACTGGTGCTGACCAAACATGGAACCTTTTCAGTGGTAGTTACATATTCCTCACAAAAAAGAGAGAATGCATAATAAAAAGAGGTCAAAAGAGCAGTACACATTATCTCCATAAACTGATTGATATGCACAGGTTCAATTTATAGAATCATAGAATCATTGAGTTGGAAGAGACCTCGTGGGCCTCCAGTCCAACCCTGCCAAGAAGCAGGATATTTAAAAATATTAAGATCATTTAAACAGAAATCTACCCCCATTTCACTGTAGTTGGAAAGGCAAGGTTCCTGCTTAGATTGGCTGTCCAGGCCTTAACCTTTGCTAAGCAATGCCAAGGTCCTTGTCCTTCCTCCTGGTCCTTTGTGTTTAATTGGAACTTTGATGGCATAGCTCTTCAACAAAGGGTTGACTTCAGAGAGAACTATCTGCTAACAATCCTACAAATCAAGGGCTGCTCTAAATACATCTTGTCTACTTTTAACTCAGAGATCATTTGAGGTGGGTGGAAAACCAAAAGCATTGGTAAGACCTTCTTTGTCTTCCTTCCCATGTTTCCCAGGTCAACACTGTCTCAGCAGGGAACAGTCGGCATTACAGAACAGCCATTTCCCCCCCTGAAATTCTCCCCATGTATGCATTTCTTTTAAATGAATGGAGTCTCATATAATTCTGTGATGTGAAAAAGTACCTCCAGACTCCAAGTGATGGCTCATACACTTGATTATTTCCCTGTACACAACAAACTAGAAAATCAGATGGAAGAATGGGCTTCTCATCTTGCTGGCATGCTACATTTCTGCATGGGTATGCTAAAGATTTTCACTAGTGCACATCAAGAGCACGTGGGAAAACCTGCTGGATTATTCTTAAGGATACAGCATTTAACACACAAATGAAAAGGTTTGCTATCTAATTCTACTATGAATTCTAATTGTTAATTAGATTTCGCAGGATATTTCCAACCTGATCCTCACAGTGATTTCTTAGAAGTTATTCCTATCGAGTTGTGTGCCTTTCCTCTTGCTCTTCTCGCCATATGCTCATTCAGAGAAGATAGGTAGCAGCAACAAGGTCCAGTAACTTCAGTAGCCTTAGTTGGTGTCTAATCACAGCAACTCTTGATGTTTGTTCTACAATGATCAACCAGTTCCTGATAATCTAGTGGTGACACATTGTGTCAGAGCACAGGTAAATTATTTATCTTCACCACAGTTCTTAGAATCCTTCCAATCAACATGGCTACTTAGAAAATCTGTATTTGTCACCCAAGAAAATAATTTTTACACATTCCAAACAAATGGAAGTTTCCAGATATTGTCCTGCATACTTAAGGTCACTACAGAATCAGAACTATTTTGACAAGAATAGGATAGAGACATATGGAGGAAGCATAACCTATGAATGGCACTCTCTCATAAAACACGTCACTTGCAAAGGAGAAAAAAAATCTATCTTACCCATGGCAGGGGTCGCTAAAGTTTGTCGACCTACTAGCTGGGCAGGTCCCAATCCATCAAGAAAATCACTGAATTGACTGTCAGCACCCAGTCGGACTCCAGGAAATATTAGGCTGCAATAAAACAAAGAGCACAAAAACCAAAAATGACCACAATTGTTTTAGGATTTGTATTGTAGACAAGGCTCTACTTTTTCCAGATGGGTATCCCTGAAGAAAATAAATGAAATGAAGAAAGAGAACAATATGTTTTTTCACTCATACTTCTTGAGGAGAATGTTATGATAACAACAGACTACTTAATGGTGTGGTCTTTCATCATGAAGGCAAGACTGCATTTATGGGAATGTAATATATCCTGAGTGTAGCTAGATAAAAGGAATGAAAAATATGTCATGTTTCATACATATTTCATGTACATATGAACTAGTCCATTCCCGAGAAGAAGAGATAGAGCCGAAGATCCATCACACTGTAACAATAACCACTTCTACTCAGGTACCCCTGGCCAATCACATGATTTTGCCACTTGAGGTAGAAAGTCTTGTAAGTGCCTCTCCTCCTCCTTTAATCATGTGTAGATAATTAATCAAATAAGTAGCAATTTTCTGTCAGTTAATGATAGACCAAATCCATTCCTTGAGTCAACTGATCTTCAATGACTAACTGATGGGTCCAGTCCTACATAGCAGAAACCAGAAGTCTGCTCAGGCTCAAAGCCCTTGTCAAATGTGTCATTAGATGGAGTTTAATCAAAAGGTTGCAGCTTATTTTTGCATTTCATTGCATGTGATCATAATGGGATGAATCGTATTTCTTAGACGGTTTAGAGAAGAATGGTCAAATAGTGCTTGCTGCAATTTTAATATGAAACTGCAAGAACAACACACATTTTGCAATATATCATCCATTTAATCAGCACTACTTTATAATGAAGTCTTTATCTATTGAAGCTGCCTCTAGCTATCCATCAGATTCTGATCATTCTCCTTGAACGTACTTTTAAATGGCCATTTCAAAATGTAGCTTAGCTTTTGCCAAACACACACCTGTGTGCAACTGTATTAGAAACTTGAGAAAAATTGTTAGGTGTTCCAATATTTAATGTAAAATGATGGCACCTTGGATTAGCTCATCCTCATTAAAGAGAGATATGAAGATGGTAAATCTGTCACTCATAAAACAAGCATTTAGCACTGTAACCAAGACTCAATTTGAACCTTGGGGAGTCAAGGTTTACCAGAATTTTTCTGTGGTTCTTAAAAAAATAGCAAACTCTGAAGATATGTAAAATTCATTTTCTTTTTTTCCCTTTTTTAATATAATTTTTATTGTGCATTTTAATATTTACAAACAAGACTGAGCGAGTGCCGGTAGCACTCACCCTAAACATAACATCATAGACACTGAAAACATCCAAAACATTCAAAACATCGTAAACATCACAATATCAAAACATCAAAAATCCAATCGTCAGAGCTTCAAAACCGTGGTCATTTTCTTCACTGAGTCCAGATACCCTAGTTCCCATCCATCCAGAGTGGAATATTGTGGGTTTTAGGTTGAGGCTGTCACAATTCTGTCTACTGTCCACACGTTTCTAAGTTAAGCTTTTGTGCACATGAGTAACGACTCTACCACCACCAAGAATAGAACAGGTACACAGGTATATGGGTGAAGACAGGTCACAACTTGTTTACTGGTTATAGCTGAAAAGGGTTGGCAGCCAAACATGGGTCCTGGACTGGAGGGTCTGACAGCCCATTTACTTGAACGACACCATGGGAAGAATCACTGTGAGTACAGGAATCGCATACTAGAGCCTGTACTGGCAACGAACGATGGGGGGCATAGTGCAGGTTCCCGTTTAGGACTATACCGGTATACCTACACCAACACTCCCCTTGTGATACTCTGAGAACTTCTGAAAGGAGGGAGAATATGGCATACCAGATCCAGGACCCATGCCAACCACCCCCCAAGTTGTGTCAATGACAATTAACAAATGGCACATAAGACACAAGACACAAGACACAATGGGAGGGGAAAGCTCAAAGGCAACTGACCAAGAGAAGCAACGTGCTGTCTAATATAGCCAGCCAGACGGGAGGAGGCTCCCCTTTAGCCCGCCTCTACTGGAATCAATCAGAGAGAGACAAGAGGCTCGTCCTGATTGGATGCCAGCTTTGCTGTACATTGGGCATGCACAGAGCACTGCATGCTGGGAGGAAGGAGCCTCCCTCACAAGATGGCACCGGAGAGGAGTGCTCAATGCCAAAAGCTAACTGCCTGGTAAGTCAGGCAGGGCTTATAGCAATGGCTGGAGGCTTCCATGTCAGTGGGATAGTGGATCTGGAATCTAACCTGAACTTTAAAGGAGCTATTTTAAATTCCTAAATATATTTTGGGCGTAAGAGTCAACACCTTGGATAGTTTCTTTAAAACTAATACCCCTTCAACATGAACACCACCAGCAACCATTGGAAAAGCACTGTTGCTACTGCCTGCCTCTAAAATTTTGCCTATCCCTGTATTTTTAGCGTTGAATTCCCTCCCAATACAGCACAGTGAACAGAAGCACTTGAAGGAAAGATGATTGGCTTCTGGCCTCTTGACCTCCTCTGCCTGAAAGGCCAAAATGCCCTTGAATGCATGTGTAGCCAACTTACTTTCCCTCTGAGCTGTAACTGTTGATACTTCCATCATTGGATTCCCGACTTGGCTGCCGGACCATACGGCTTCTCATTTCTGCAGCCATCCCAGTTTCTGTGCTTCTTTGTATCGTGCTTTTTAGCTTCTTGCTGCCCGTCTCTACAAGACATCAGAAAGAGAAACAAAAGTAACAACAACCAACAGAAACAACAGCAGCAAAGTGTTAATGCAGAATTGAATTCTTAAGGCCTAAACATATATATAATTTGCACCAATTCTATACCCACTTACTTGGCAGATAGTTCCATCAACTGCATTGGGACTGGGTTTTAAGTAGATATGCATAAGACTGAAATTATGGTCGATGATTCAGTTTTTCCATTAATTCATCTACTGCTCTGAAAAAAAGCATTGTTTTGACGTGCCATTTTTTTCATTATGGGAAAAAAATAATGCATTTTCCTATTTTTATCTAGTTGTGTTGCTTATTTCCACTGTGACATATTTTCACTTGCTGTGTTGATTTCTTTTTTACCAGAGGAAAACAAATTCAACTGCATAACTCAGTCTTTTCCATACTTGAACTGTTGCTTGTATTAGTTGAACATATGTTATAGATGTCAGGATAGATATGCATCAAGGCTTTTTATACTTTGCATACATATGTCATTGATAACAGAGGGTAATCCTTCATGCACTAAAATTAAGTGGCAAACTGCTCTCGCTCTCTCGCTCTTAGTGCTAGACTGCATATTTTTCAACTGTTCCTATTGCCATTGTTCCTTTTCAATCATTTTTTAAAGTCCCAGTTTCTCTCTTGCCTCCCACTTTCCAGCTTTGTCCTCAGCTTTTCTTCAATGCTGCAAATTCTGAGTTCACAGTGCAAATGTAGTTTCTACTCAGTTGATTCAACAATGGAGTCTTGCTGTCTTCTAGCTTTCTTCCTCATTGATAATTCTGGTCATCTTGACCATGCTTTGATGTTGCTTGACTAAATGCTTCAGTCTTCATCTCTGAAACGCTGTAGGGGCTGTCAATTCAATTCATAAATTAGAACAGGACTTTTTAGGTTCTGTCCCAGTGAATCTTGAAACCTCTCTCAGGTATATCAGAGAATTGTATGTAAGGAGTTCAGGAGAATACTTTCTGAAAAAGCTGTGTGTGACATATGCTTCTCTATTTTTCTGAGGCAATGGTGAGGCTCAACAGGCCTAGCTGGAAGCCTCCATCAAATGATATTTTTGCCATGTACCCCAAAATCCTTTGTAACAACACAGTTACCATGGTTGACAACCAGAAGTTCTCCTTAGCAGAGATTGAGCTGAATAGTTATCTGGTGGCAGAAATCCTGAAGTCCACTGGCCTGGGTGAGTTGAATGTACATCTTTTAAAAAATATTCACACTATCCCTTAAGCGGTAAGGTGTGAGTTCCTAGTTCCTGATCATAAGGTAGTTTAGAGATGAAATTTCAACTTCTGTTACTGGCCATTATTGCATTGGAGAGGACTAACCAGAGACTGGTTACAAATTGGCAGAATGGGAAAGAGTAGTTCAGCATTATGCAGCCATATGATAGAGTAGCTAGTAGGACACTATCTGATCCTGAACAAACAGCTCCCAGATCTCTACTTAGAGGTCTCTATTTTCCATGCAACAGAGCATAGCAGAAAAAATTAGCCTTGCAGCAAACTATCTGAAAATAAACCACTTTAGTTGCTGTGGTGCAGAGTTTGGAAGTAAAAGGTTCCATGTAATATAATGTTGCCTTCAGGGCAAAGTGGGCTTAACAAAGTTACATTTCAAAAATAATGCATACCATGGGAATGATATAGCTTGATTTCTTTGAGGCAAGTAACATTCCCGTTAATTTTCATGGTTACTTTAGACGGATCCTCTGGAGGGAATGGCTCATATTTTGCACCATTCAATTATCACTTGCAACACTTCCTTTCTGCCTCCTTTTTTTAAAAGGTGGCAAAAAACAGTGGATACCAAGACAATGAGAAAAATAGGAGCAACGAGTTACTCAGTTTAAATCAAACATGCAGGATAAAGTGAAATACAATAAGAATCCAACAGAAGAACATTGCTCTTGCCACCCATTCTTGAGGAATGAGATTGACGAAGGCCAAGAGTACCTAAACAGAACCATTAAACACCTCAACAACTTTTTTCATTCTCTTGCTTAGAATTCTAGCAAATATAAAAATTAAACATCCATGCATCTAATATACATTTTATGGGTGAAGGCATGAGGATGGTGACAATGATTATGATGATAATGAAGAAAAAATAAATTATTTCCCACAAGTTCAATTTGATGACAGATATGTGCCAGGTATTTCAATAAAACACTTGATAAAATGTCTCCCCATCTGAGCATGTCATTAGCAACAAAGTCACATTACTACCTATCCACTGAATTAAGGTCCACTCTGTTGATTTCTGTTTCATCAACTTTAGTGTGTGATATTTATCTGTAAACTCACAAAACTAGGCATATACAGTAGTCAGCTATATTGATTGCCAAATAATTTCCACCACTTTTGACTGGATATTACTCTATCTGCTGAAATTTACTGCAAATACCATGATACTCTGTTTATATTACTATTATAAAATGACCTGAAAGCAAAAAATCTGAAAGTAAGTCACAGAGCCAACTTCAGTGCAACTTCTTGTCAACATTTTTTTTATTTTCCTTTTTCTATTTACAAATATAACTCAGGTGAAAATGAGAAGTCTAAAAGAAACAAATATCAAAACTGCCACTTTCACGCATTTAATAGGAAAAACCCAGTGCAGCACAGTACACAAATGATGTATGTAGAATGCAAGAGTTAACTGAGATTGCAACTAAACCAGTACTAATTTCTGATTATGCCTGTATTTTATTCACAGATTCCATGATACCACAGTGTTGTTATATTTTGTATTATTTAAAGAAACTGCGTGTATAGCTTACCTATCTGCCAAAAATGGCACTCATCATGACATGAGCATATTTAAACCAAGTTAATACTCTCACTTTACCAAGAATGATTAATCACCAACCATTTCTGGTATATGAGTAATGAAATAAAACCATCTGACTATATTTTTTATGTAATATGCACACACATATGGAACCTAGAAGTCAGAGTTGAGAAAGGAGGGGTTAGATTTGTCTATGATTCAGGCAAGATGGTCTGGTGAAAAAAAAACACTGTTGTAATCAACTATTGTTAAAATCAAATTGATTGTGATAATCACATTTCAACAGTACTGAATGTGGTAACGTATAACTTTATTGCTTTTCCATGTGTAGCCACAGGTCTGAAATGCAGATAACCTGACACCATGCTCCCAAGTTTTGAAACACAGTTCTGGGTTATTTGCACATGTATGCACACAGCCATGTACAGATAGACAGAAAGTACAGGCAGTCCCTGAGTTACAAACATCTGACGTACAAATGACTCATAGTTAAGAACTGGGTGAGACAACAAGAAGTGACGGAAACGTACCTCTAGAAGGGTAATCCACTCCTGAAAGAGCTATCATAGCCAATTTGTTCAAAATCCAATTATCACAGGCTATCCGGAGCTTGCTTTATATATCTATGGAGTTACACTTAAAAAGTGTACTTATTCTGATTTTCATACAAATTCAACTTAAAAACAAACCTACAGAACCTATCTTGTTCATAACTTACGTCCTCATCAGAAAGGCCAGGCGAGGCATCCTACTTCACCTGACATCACCATGAAAAGAGAGGGGCAGCAGGACAAATATGTCGCCCCGCATGCAGCTCTCTTTTGGTGACACTACTCACATAACACGTGGGAAGCGTCATCCTTCTGGAGAGGACCCGTACTAACTCCACTGGAGCCATCCCAATATGGGCAGGATCCCATGTTGTAGGGAATGCCTCTGCCGATGGTTTCACCCCGGTTGGGGCGAGGCCTATGCTGGAAGTCACACGACGTCATGTGATGTCCAGTGTAGGTCTCCATACTCAAGACATTTACCCAGACTGATAAGGCTCTCAGGACTGCTTATAATTTAAGAACTGTGTGAGTAAATATCAAGCCACCTTGCTTGGTGGCAGTGAAAGAAATCATTGTTATTATTAGCTTCTCAGTAGAAAAATGGGTATCCTGATATTTAGGGAACTTACTTGGGAGAATAACACGTGTGTGTGTGTGTGTGTGTGTGTGTGTGTGTGTGTGTGTGTGAATGCATATATGTTTATATTTGTAGGGATATATTTTTCTCTCACAGGAAAGGAGAGCTAATAGTGAGTGATTTTAATCCAAGTATGCCATGTGCATTGTAAAGGTCATCTAGCTATAAATTGTCATGAAGCCATTTGCTATAAAATGTCCCAGCATAGGTTGATATTATGATGTCATACAATTAGTTACAATATTTTTTCCAACTACTGACATGTTTTATATTCTCCGTCTCAGTACAATTGGAAGCCACACTATGCCATGCCTGCTTCCACCTTCTATGTTGGGTACGTTTATCTTTCAGGACATGCATTAAGGTACCAACCATAAACAATATACTACTGTAAGTAATCTCTAGCACAAAGATTAAAGTGTAATATTATACTACAGAAAACATATTTCAGTTGTTTGAAAGAGCTGCATGCAGTTAGAATTATGCGTGCAAACAAATTGCTTTGTACATTTCTGTGCCTCTTCTCAAACATGCCTAAGAATGTTTGTATATATAGAAAGCTACATACCAAATAATATTCTGTTTACATTTAGGAAGCTATCCAAAATTAGCTTCATTGGTAATCAGAGTATGCCGTGTTTCTTACTTTGATCTGTTTTAGTTTTATTACTTTGCTAAGATTCAATGCTATACAGTATCATAATTGTAGTTTCTTTAAAACTCCTGACTGAACCCGGTTTATTTTTCATGCCTTTGACATCAGATCAATGCATCATACACATCCTACTTACACTTATAGGATGGTAACAAAGTATTACCAGATCACTGTAATTAACAACAGAGGTAACATCTGAGACAACATGTAGGGCTGTAACTCGAACACTATCACTTCTCATATACGATTCATCTCCTGTATGATTTTTAACATTTTTCCCAATGAAGAAGCCAGTGAAGCTTTGGAAACTTGCATGTTGTGTTTTGTACATTCTGG